AGAAGGCCCGAGGGGGCTTCTCGGAAACCCTTTTGGCGACTGCTGGGCAGCTTTCGGAGCCCTAACTATCCGGACACAGCGGAGGCCTCTCTCAGAAGACCCGAGGGGGCTTCTCAGAAGCCCTTCTGGCGCCTGCTGGGCAGCTTTCGGAGCCTTCTCCGAAGACAGCGGAGGCCTCTCTCAGAAGGCCCAAGGGGGCTTCTCAGAAGCCGTTTTGGCGCCTGCTGGGCAGCTTTCGGAGCCTTCTCCGAAGACAGAGTCGACGAGTAACCATCGGTTGGAGGAAATAGGTAGGAACATGAAACAGGAATGCGTTGAAAGTAGATTGGGCTGCCGCCCGCCCCCTCAGGAGGACGGAAACGGTGACGCCACTCGATCATTGAAGTAGAAAGGCGCCTAAAGTAGATTGGAATCTGGGACTCCAACAACTGGGTACTTTCTCAGGGTGGAGGGCTCAGGGTGAAATCCACACGGGCCTTCGCATCTCGAAAATCGATCCGTCCTGTGATTCATCTTGTGCAGATTCGCTCCTCGAGAACCAATCGAGACGGCACTCCGGATTTCACCCTTTGCCCTCCACGCAAAGAACTCGGGTCGGGCGAAAGGGGGGGATAACAAAGGGGGGGGTTGAGAATCAGCTCACGTAGCTGATTTTCCCGGCGCCTCCCGGCGCCAGAGGCGGCTATGTATCGAGGAATGGGCCCCTCGGTGAGGCCGAAATCAGCTGCATGCAACAAATTTCGTACCCCCCCCTTTCCCAATCCCCCCCTTTCGTCCGTCCCGAAGAACATGCCTGGAACAAAAACACCTACTCTCAACGGCCGATGGGTCCGTGTTCCCGTGTGTGCTTTCATTTCTTCCCTCCCGAGAGGGGCCCAAACCCCCGACGCCGTGACTTCTCAGTGCGGGGCCCTCGGAAGTCTCGCGACCCCTCCCCCGGGACCGGCTCTTCCTCCCGAGGCGCTTTTTGACGGGCCTGGGGCCCGGCGAGGGCCCGAAAAAGGTCGACATCGGCGACACACCTCCGTCGTGATTTCCTCAAGACGTTGGACCTCTTACACATGCATCACTTACGTACCACTTGCGTATCACTTACGTAAGACTTACGTTCAGCCTGCGTACCCCTGCATCTGGTTAGCGCGATCGGCTCGACTTAGCAGGCCAGTTGTGCTCCAGACCCTCAACTCATGATAACTCGACTTGTCCGTTGCTGAAGTGTAGGCCATGCAGCCAGACACCAAGTTGTTAGTGCCCCATGTGAGCGCCTGGTCTTGGGAAGTGGATCTCTGGGAGGCCCGCCCCCTCTCTCGCTTGGGCGCCCGAGTTATCCGGAGTAACTCGGGTCCGGGGTAACTCGGGTTTGGATTCCCGAAAAAGGAACCCGAGTTAGCCCTTACCCGAATTATCCCTGAAGATGTGGGGCTCTGGACGCCCGAATTATCCCGGGTAACTCGGGTCCGGGGTAAGTCGGGTTCGGATTCCCGAAAATCGAACCCGAGTTAGCCCTGACCCGAGTTACCCCTGATGATTCGGGGCTCTGACTCGCTGCCGCCCCCGGGCGCGCCGCCCGCCCCCCCGGCCGGCCCCCCCCCCGAGGCCCAGGCGCTGCCGCCACTTGCGCGCAGATAGGCGCCGTGCGCCCCCCGCCTCGGGCCCCCCGTGGTGGGCCACGGCGGAGCCGAGGGGGGGC